AAAAAGGAAAAAGGCTTATAAATGTACCTGTTGGCTCGAATGTTCATGCTTTGCTTATATGTGCCCTAATTTATTTCTTAGAAGATACAAAAACCCAGGTAATCATATAGGTAAAACCTATAGTGAATATGCTAGGTTAAGATTCCTTTAACTGGGATCCACCAAATTTTGTCTCTGCTAATGGACCTGCAAAAGGTTCTAACTTGTCTTTTTCATAATTATCCTATTGTGATTATTTAATCCATGCATACTTAATTGTTTCTTTGGCATTGTCTCCTCCAGACTCAAAGCTATATATTCTCCCAAGAGAAAATGCCTGTCATCTTTTGGGCCTTTAGATAGAGCCTCTGAAGAATATATCTGACTGCCAGTCAACAACTATGACTCCTTTCAGCTTGAAGAAGCCACAGCAGTCATCACCTACAATCCCTTCATGGCAGTTCAGGTTACTTCTTCAGAGGGGGGAATGTTGTAGGCAGCCAAGTGAAATAGAAATGTTATAGGCAGTCAGATAGGGCCAGGCCCTTGAGACAGGACGGAAGACAAGGTGACCTTACAACTTTTGGAAGAGACAGACATTCCTATGTTGGCCCATACTATTAATCCTTTTCATTATTGATAGGGAAGGTAGAATGGGACTCAGCCCAGCAACAGCTAAGGGCTACGCAGCCAGAACTGACACTGCTCCAGCTGCTTCAAAGCAAAGGGGGAACTGTGGAGGATCACCTGAGCAGCTCTCCTTGAAAGAAGAGCGACTGTCTCCATTCTGACTGAGCCTGACTCTATTTCCTATGTACAGAGCTGGATAGGACTTCTGTTTATCAATTGGCCTTAGGTAAATGTAGGCCACCCACGTAGCTCAGCTCACAAGGATCACCTATTTCCCACAATTCTCAGTCAATCCTCCTCAAGTCACTCCCCCACTGAATAAAAACAGGATGAGGCCCTGGGTCGCTCTCTTGGTTCTGGAAAGCCATCTTCGTGGCTAGACTTAGAGCCCCTTGACTCCCCAGTGATTGAAAATATAATTTAGTGTCTTTATTTTCGCCGTGGGTAGCATTATAAGTGGTAGATTGGAATCCACTTGATGGGATTCCAATAACGTAACTTTGGGATTATAAATATTGGCTTCTTGGACTGAGAAGAGGTCCAGGAGGCGTCTCCTACACATTGATACAATGAAGTTTTCTGTTTTCACTTGGGAATTAGTTTCCCAAGAAGTTATGAATATGTCCTCCAAGTTTTATCTCTGCACACTAATGTAGTCACTTTCATAAGTCACAAGGGGGAGAAAATGTAATTTGATAACTAAATCTTGAGTAGTCATGCTGTATGAATCAGTACATAGACACTAATGAACAGAAAAATCAAGTTAGCTGTCTACATGCTGAACAAAACCTTTTTTTATTAAAATGTAAATAAAAATTTATTTTTATTAAAATAACACTCAATGTATCTCAACATGATATAGAATGAAAATGCCAACTCTAGCTTATTTTTTCCAAAAGTAACAGACATGTTCAGCTCAATGATCTATGGTATTTAACTTTAATAGTGGGCTGGTGAGATGGCTCAGTGATCTAAAGCACCTACTTAGAACAAGCTAAGCCAAGCAAAGCACAGGGACCTCGGTTCAATCCCCCAGCACCACATGCCAGCCCGCCCGCTCCCTGGTGGGCTGAGCTGGCCACACACAAAATAAATAAATAAATAAATAAACATTTAGAAAAAAATAATAACTTTAATAGTAATAAAGCATTATGGGAAGCAGGAATATAGCTGCACAGTAATAATTTCTTGTTTGTTATATTTTATTCATCATCATATAAACTAGTTACCAAAACCTCAGTGCTAACAAGCAAAAAGAAATAAGGCTCCGTTCCTTTACCTGACACAAAATTCAAAAAACTTTAAAACATCACAGCAACTATAAAGTTTACTCTAAAAACGTAAGTCAAAAATATAGAATAAATGCTATTGATACGATATATATATATTACATCATATGATCTGTTTAATATAAAAAAGTAAGGGGCCAAAGAGATGGCTCAGTAGAATAAGCGCTTTCCTGGCAAGCACAAGGGTCTGAGTTCAATCCCCAGTTCCACAAAATAAGTAAATAAATAATGCAAGTCCAAATTCTGACTGGAATTCTTTGTTCCTTGGCTCAGGAATAAAAAGCATACATCAGATTTCACAACACCCAAGAACGATTATCTCTTGAACCAGAAATGACACTTCATGCGCTGTTACAACCTGACCAAAGCGCAGCATTCCTGTTCTGTACACACCATCTTAGGGAACCATGTCAACTGCTGTAACATGTGTGCCTATCTCACAGAACTTCAGTTTCCTCAAGCCCGCACCCCACCCTTGAGTTCAAAAATGTCCACTGCTGCTCCTACACCCTTAAATTCCAAGAACCTCTCCAGACCCCTAACCATATCTAGTCTCAGCAACTGCCATGTCTCCTTGAACTCCCTGAGTTGTACCCTGCCTGCTTTGCAGTTTTAAGCTTTATAAACCCCATGCTTCCCCGCTTTGGTGCGCACTTAGGCACTTTGTGCTGAGTGTCGCTGCTGGGTACCAGCTAAAATAAAGCACTTTTTAAACTTTTGAGCCTACCTTGTTTTTGAGTTACAGCAGCACCTCCATGACAAAGTACATCACAGTTGCAGGTCCGGGGAAGATCTCTGCAGCTTGAAATAAACTGAAGCAGTAGTGTCTCCCTGTCTAGCTGTGGCTTTCAAAATAATGCCTTGAGCATTGCCTGTAAATTGAACTCCTAGCAAAACGCATGTTTTTCCATTTTTTGTTTGTTTTGCAATAGTGATACCTGTAGACATCTTTTGACCTTTGGTTGACATATTTTCCGACAACTGATAAACTTATGTATCAGGCTTGCGACATCTTAATTGTGTGGTAAACTTCAACATGTTGCATCCAAAGCTCCTGGCTTCTATCTGTTCTGGTTAAAATTAAGGAGTTAAAATTTCTCCTTAGGAGCAGTCCAGAGCCAGAACAAATTAAGTTATTAACAGATGGAAGGCTGAACAACAATTGGCATCACAAAAATGATGCGCATGACTTTATACAGAAGACTGGTAAACTCAGGGATGAACACCTTCGGAGCTTCCTAACCCAAACACTGTATATACAAGTTAAGATAGATATACAGCTACTTTCTCTTAGTTCAATGAGAAGAAAGGTATGTACCAATAATTGTTTAGACACGATATCATGTCTGCATCTTGTCCACTGAATACTATGAAGATAACAATGTGCAATGTATTAATTATTGTAAATGTTCTAACGTGTTTATTTTTATTTTTATTTTTTTATTTATTTTTGGCGGAACCAGGGATTGAACTCAGGCCCTTGCTCTTGCCAGGGAAGTGCTTATTCCACTGAGCCATCTTCCCGACCCCCTTTTTATTTTTATTTATTTATTTTTTCTAACGTGTTTTGAAACTGTTTCATTGCTATCTTTTCTTCTCACTAAAATGAATTTAAAAAAATAAAAAAGACTGTCGACTAACAGGGGAAACTGAAACCAAGGCAACGCGAGGGAAACAATCCCTAGCCAACCAGACAGCAATGACCCGGGGACCGGATTAGAAGCACAATGTCAACTCGGCCAGAGCAGCTACTCAGAGAAGGATGCACCAGACCCGAGAAGAAGTAAAAATGGCAAAGAAAACTGGCCCTTAAGCCTATGGAGATTGTGTGGGGTCCTACACGATCCTTCCAGAATCGGAAAAAAAGCGACAGCTAGAAGAGGAGCACAGAGCAGGGCAGTAAATAGGACCCCTTCTTTGCACCCAAGTACCCAAACGGTAGACCAAGGAAAGAGTGGACGCCGGATGCTTGCGTCATCTTCCGGGGACGGAATCGCGGTTACCAGAAAGGAAAAGCCTCAGTGGAACTATCCCTAGGGCTCAATGACTACATTGTGCGCCCACTTTCGCTTCTGGCGAAGCTATAAGTCAGATTTACAAGGCCAAAAAGAAGGCTGTCTTTACTAAATACTGTAATTGTGCAAAGGTATCTAATATAAACTCTACAGATTTGTTTTGCTTTTACCTTTCTTATGAGTGTCTTAACTGACGTTGCCCAAACAAAATATGGCGGCGTAGGCGCTGGGTCTTACCATAGAGTCTCGAGACTAGAGCAGCCTGTGCGTCCTGTGGGCGGGGCAACGCTCCCTCCCACCCTTTTTATTGCCGGAAGCCTGGGGCGTGGCCAGCCGCGGTAGACGCTACCACGTGAAGATGGAGGTGGAGGTGGAAGAGGAGCAGGAACGCGTACGCGTGGTTCATTGCGGCGGCAGCGAGTTAAACTTTCGGAGAGCCGTGTTTTCCACAGATTCCAAGTATGAGGGCTGGGCGCGTGGTCGGCGGGGCGGAGGGACGTGAGCTCCCCGAGGGCCGGGGAAGGGCTGGGCTCTGCGGAGGAGGCGCGCGTGCGGTTCCCGGGGCGCCCGTGAGGTCCGAGCTCGCGACACCCTGGGGTCCTGGGGCGCGCGGGCTGGGGACGGCTTACCTGCGGACGTGTAGAGTCTGGGGCGCTCGAAAGTGCTCCCCGCGTAGAGGTGGAGCCACAGATTCGGCTCCCTCCCGCGTCCGGGACACACACGCGCACTGGAGAAGGCCACCTGGCCCGCTATGGGGGAGCCTTGCGGGAAACTGACGTCGGGTTCCGTGGGCGGTAGGGGCGGGTCGGCATGGAGTCTCCCCACGAGTGTAGGTGGAAATCAAGCTGTTCTCAGAGTGCCAGAGCTGATCCTTACGTAGCAGGACCTGCCCAGGCCTCTGACCACTCCTTAGTTGCCTCTTTAAGATGAGGACAGTATGTAGCATCTCCCTGTCATGGGCTTCATAGAACAACCAAATGCCTAGTAGATAGTCTCTCCAGAGTGCATCTAATGGCCCAGTCTGTCAGCTCTCATTACTGCGTTGCATCGTGTAGAAATGACGTTGTGTAAGACTAGATTTTCAAATCACTCCACCTCACAAGTGATGCTTGTCCTAAAAATCTGTTTTTAAGAGAATAGAGATTGTACTTCAATCTGTAAGAAATCCGGTCTGTGAATATATGGCAAGTAATTGTTGACCCAGTATGCCTGAGGGAACGGGCTTTCTCACACACAAACACACACACACATACACACATCAGTTGTCTGCACAAGGAAGTTTTGTTGACCTTCATTACAGAAAGAGACTGAACCTTAAAGAAGTTGTCAAATTTCAGCCTTTTCAGACCCATTTCTGCCTACCCAATGGCCTCCAGTTCCTTGTTCTGACCTTGTTGGTTACTGTATTGAAGTCTGTTATCATTGCATTTGCTGAATCCCACAGTTCATTTTTCAGTCTCTGTCAACTGTATGTATAACAAGCAGAGATGATGGAGACAAAGATAGGTCAAGTCCTGATGCTCCCTCGAGGAACTTAATTTAATGAAGAAAAGGAAACTCAGTAGCAAAAGTTTGCAGGGGCTTGTAAGGAGAGGTAACTTCAGACTGAGGAGGCTGGGGAAGGTCTCTGAGGACATGCTACCTAGGCTAAGCCTAGATTCGTGGGTTGCAGTGTTATGAGGATTTTCTCACACGGCAGAAAGTGAAAAGCACAGAGTGCCCTGGTGGTATGAGAAAAGCGTCAGATATAATAGGCATAGGGCAGCTTTTATTCGGAAGTTGCTAAAACATTTGTAAACTTCATCCTTTAGTAACTTCTGTTAAAAATAATCAAGTATTATTTCAGTTTAGCTACTTTCAGTAATTTAACAACCTCTGCTATATGAGAGAGGGGGGGAAAAAATCCCTAAATCTAGAAAGATAAAAACAAAACCAGCATTTCAGCAACAATGGGGGAAAATAAAACTAATGTAAAGATTTTATACTTTGTTGTAGAGCAGAGGCCTGGACTTCACCAATCAGAACAGACCCTTTGATTTAGGATTTCTACACTGGTGTCCCCAGGGAAACAGGGAGTTTGGGGACTTGAGAACACACTGCTGGTAGCAGAACCATTGAGCGTAAGAGTTAATAGTAAATTAATAATGCAGTCTCCACCTATTTAGTGAGCAGGCACTTGGCAAGGCTATTTGTGCAGGGTGGGTCTGTGTAGTCTATGTCTGAACAGCCAGAGATGTGACAAGGCCTCACACAGTCTTTTGAGTTAGTGAATGAGTTGGTCATAGATGTCCCCACAGTTTGCGTGTACAGTTCTTAAACTATTTTGAAAGAAACATCTGGGGCCCGGGGAGATAGCTCAGTAGACTAAGCACTTGCCTGGCAAACACAGAGGCCTGATTTCAATCCCCAGTTCTGCCAAAAAAAAAAGAAAGAAACTTCTGTTGCATGTTACTGTTTTTGCAGTGGATTGTAAAAAGATTATGCAGAATATGTGAAACTTTATTTTTCTTTCTTTCTTCCCAGGTATATCTTTTGTGTGTCTGGAGACTTTGTGAAAGTTTATAGCACAACTACAGAAGAGTGTGTGCACATTCTTCAGGGACACACAGACCTGGTGACTGGAGTCCAGCTCAACCCTAGCAACCATCTGCAGGTACCAAACAATTTCTAGTTGAATATTTTCACATTAGCTTGGTTAATGAAAAAAAAGTTAAATTTGACTTAGGAAACTTTGCAGGTTAAGGTGAGGGCTGGGTCTGTTGGTTGTTTTACTCGGTATTTTTCCACTATCTGATTTTGAAAGTAGGATCATAGCCTAGAGTTCCTTAGAAGGTATGCTGCCAGCCGTTCGTGCCCAAGAATGCTTCATGGGTATTACTGAACAAGGATGTCCTTGGCTGTATTAATTTCTGAAATTTAAGCACAGTTGAAATGATTTCTTAATTATGGGTCTTCTTAGATCCCTTAAAGCTCTGGCATTAGGACTATGTAAAGGTTTAACCTGTTCCTAAATTCTGTCTCAGCAGTAGTTTCTTACAGGTTTAACAAGTTCCCATCTTCTGGATTGGCCCCACCAACCTGGAAGTTATTGTTGTTTTAAAAATAGATCTGCATCCACATTCAGTAGCCTTTATCACAAAAGACGTAGGGCATAAGGTAATGCTGATTTCTTTGCAGAATTAAATGAGCTGCTTTTAAAAATCAAAGTTAAGTAACTTTTTTGCAAGGTCCAGGTAGTCTTTTTATCCTGTCCTGTTTGACCAAAACTTACTGTTACTTGCGTCACTTGAATGTTTTAATAGCAAAAACATTCTGTGGTTATAATTGGAATTTGCACAATGTGTACAACTAAGTCGTATCCCCAGACAAAAGCTATATACACATGACATGAAAGTTCTCTTTCAGGGGCTGGTGAGATTGCTCAGTGGTCTAAGGCACCTACTTAGAACAAGCTTAGCTAAAGCACAGGGACCGTGGTTCAATCCCCCAGCACCACAAGCCAG